GCATTATTATTCTTATGGACTAGTTCAGGTTTATATATTACACTTAGAATTTATCGGTAAAGAAAGGTATTATTTTTTTTTTTAAATATTACAGACTAAAGATATTTATGGAATCAAAATGGCACGTAGGCGCAAAACTGAAATGAAAGCATCAGTGAAGTCGTCTGTTAAATATGTACCTGTCCGAAAATCCAGTAGACAAATAGCTAAAAAGCAATTAGAAGAAAAGAAGATTAATGGAGATATTTTACAAATATCTTACTCAAACGATGCAGAAGATAGCAAAGGTACTGGAGATGACCAAAATCAGCCGCTTCCTAAAAAGAATCAAAATTCTTTAAGGAAACACAACAAACATAAGAATGTCCCTAATAGTAATATACTTGTAATTAACGAAGAAGGTGAATATTCAACGTCGCAATATAAAAAGGATACTAGTGAAAGTGATAGTCAAGATGGAATAGATACTATAATTGATCCTTCCGAAAAACTTAGTCCAGAGGATGTCCAACAAGTAGTCGTTGGCAATCCGAATAAGGATGAGGTGATGGAAGCTGATTCTACCGAACTTGAAATATGGTCAGAAGATGTGATAGAAGAAACCATAATTTGCGAAGAGATGGAAGTTAAAGAAGATGTTAAAGATGATAATTATAATTTGAGGCAAGAGGACGATATGATAGTGAAAGAAGTATTATTAGTAAGCAATTCTCCATTGAAGAGGAAAAATTTTGTGGAATATACTGTGATACAGAATGAAGATGGTACAGAGTCCATGGTCGTAAATACATCTAATTCAAAAAACACATCTGACACCGAATACTGCGCTATGCAAAAGAATATATGTAACTTGAACAGAGACGACGCGGAAAATTCCATATCAGCATTGTGTATAGATGTGCCAATGACTTCTAGCGATGCGAATGTTAAATCATGTAATTTAGAAAAGTTATATATTCATGATAAGGAAGCATCCAACGATCAAAAAGACTTGCACGCAAATAGAAATGCGTGTATAAACGAGTCAGAAGAAATTCTCTGTAAAGATGATGCGTTTTGCAGAATAGATAATAAATTAGCGGATATGCAAATTAGCGAATCTTCGAAGGAAATACAGAAGTTAGTGAACGATTTATCTAGTACAGAAAATATAACATCTCCGCTACAGATCGCTAGTGTTACAGAAAAAGAGATTCCCATGAGTATCGACGATGAAAGTAGTTCATCGATATTGGATAAAATAGAACAGCTGCATCATCCTAACAGTTTCGTTTCTCTGCCCGATAACATTAACAAAAATCTAATAGAACCAAGCAAATCCACTGCCCTGTATGATAAAACGGAATCCGCCAATCAATCTTCGTTAAAATCAAAAGTTATACAAGACAAAAAGATTGGAAATCAGCGGAAAAACATACAATCCCAACAGGCTAACGAATTACTATATGGCGACAGCGAAACGGATAATAAAATCGATGGCGAAGATTCCAAATTATCTAGTAGCAGCGATAACAGTAACGACACACTGTTATCTCTGAACAATTGTAAACTAACAGAGTTCGAAACAAAATGTAACAGCGGTTCTAACGATATCGATAAAAAAGTTGAGTTCAGAAGTCGAAGCGGTAGTACGGATACAACAGGTTCAGAAAGTGGATCGAACAGTTCCGGAGTCAGGAGGAGCAGTAGAATCAGATCGATCGGATTAATGAAACAGAGGTACATATAATATTTATAAACACGTAAAAAACTATGTTTGTCCTTAGCGTTTGTTCTTATTCATTTCCATGTCAGATGTATTCGCCGTTTGTTTTGTGGGCAGTTATTTCACTGTTGCTTTTCAGATCTCGTGGACGTGGTTTAGTCACGAAACCTAACATAGATGTATCAAAATCGAGTACTCAGCAAGAGCGAGAAAAGTTATCTAATAACGTTACTTCAACTGCCCAAGAGATAAAAGTAGAGAATCCGCCGGAACCGCAATCGGACAAAGAGAATAACGTCAGCAAAACTGCGAACACATTCGACTCGTTGACACCGTTGACAACAACTTGCAACACTACCGGCTACGATTCGGACTCCTGCAAGCCTGTTAAAGTGAAGTCTCGTTGGCGAAGATCTAGCGAATTAGAAATGGGTGGGTCGAGTACAGGATTCGGATCCACATCGGCAGCGATCTGCCCTACATTCGGCACTTTACCTCTAAATGCCACTGAATCTGGGCCGTTAATGTTCAAATCCGCACCCGGCTCTATAATAGACGTTAGTTCTTTGGATCCTGGATCAAGTTCTACGTTGCTAACGACAAATATTCAATACAACGTAGAAATAGAACAGACAAAGGAACCGTTGGTAGTAGCTAACACTGTTGCCGTGCAAATTCCGAAAACTATAGGCGCAAAGATCTCGTTGTCCATGGTTCCTGAATTAGAAGATAGAGAAATGGAGGAGAGATTGAGCCAGTTCGAATATTTACACGAGAATTTATATTTAACCGAAAGGTAAACGAAAGAGGAGGACGTCGCCGGTGGCACGTTTAAGAAACGTTGATGATCTGTACGGTAATGACGTTTTCCAGGTATACCAATAAGGAAACCAAGCGTATGGTGTGCGACTGCTTTTTAACCGAAGAGGAGATCGAAAGGGGAGAGTTGGGCTGCGGAGAAGATTGTCTTAATAGACTTCTCATGATAGAATGGTACTGGTCCGATTAAATAAACACATTTCAATTATTCTTGAAATATAATGTATAACACAGGCAACGTGTTTAATGCGTTACACGAATTCCAGTGGACCCAGATGCGTGGTCAGCGATCGGTGCACGAACAAACGATTTCAGAACTGTGAATACGCGAAATGCGAGGTATTCAGAACAGAGAAAAAGGGTTTCGGGTTACGCGCCATGGTCGATCTGTCGGCGTGAGTATATTCTCTTGATGTTACAATTAATATGGAAAATATCTAATAGTTTGTTATGTCGATGAATTCAATTTGTATCTATTAATTATTAGGGGGGAATTTATAATGGAATATGTAGGTGAAGTTGTTGATCCAAAAGATTTCCGACGTAGAGCAAAAGAGTATTCGAAAGACAAGAACAAACATTATTATTTCATGGCGTTAAAGTCCGATCAAATTATCGACGCCACCATGAAAGGGAATGTTTCTCGATTTATAAATCACAGTTGCGACCCGAATTCCGAGACGCAGAAAGTAAGTGCATGCACGAACACAATTAAGAAGTATCGGTAAATTTTTACATATGTATATAAATGTTTGTGATGTTTCTGTAGTGGACGGTGAACGGTGAATTGAGAATAGGATTTTTTAATAAGAAATTTATAGCCGCCGGCGAAGAGATCACGTTCGATTACCACTTCCAACGTTACGGGTACGTACACTGTACATTAAGAATAATAATAATTCATTCTGATAATTCCGATCTTACTTGAAAATACGAAAATTCCATTTCGTTGGTAAATCAGTAAGGAGGCGCAGAAATGTTACTGCGAGGCTCCCAATTGCCGTGGTTGGATCGGCGAAACGCCCGAGGAAGAAAAGGAGAAAACCGAAAAGAAAGAGAAACGCGAGAAGGACATGAGGAAGAAGAAGGGAGAAAAGAAACAGACTGACTACATGGAAGATGAAGATGTAACTTTACGATGATTCGTAAAAACCTTTAACCCTTGTTACTACCAAAAGTATCGTAGAACGATTGCCAGTTGCTTCAAAGAAATTTTGAATGTTGGATAGATGTAAATATAAGAAATTAATTGATGCGTATCTTATGGAATTCTGTCTGGACGTATTTGGCAATGAGTCTGCCGGTTGGAGTGATAAGGGTTAACGTATTTTCCATTGGACGTTAATGCACGCGGTTCGTTTCAGTTGGAAGAGGAAATAGATAAGCTGTGCTCGGGCGGTTTGAAGAACAGAGCTCACACGTTGACGTTAAGCAGGCTGATGGTGCGTAGCAGAGAATTAGAGCACAGGACCCGTCTACTTCGTCTCATACAAAGCGGAGAGCAGCCGTGTAGAAGATTATTTCTGGACTATCATGGTTTACGTTTAATTTGGAGTTACGTGATGGACATCTCGACAAACGACTCCGAGGAAGCGCAACAGTTCCGATTAGAAGTTCTGAAGACTCTGAACACGCTTCCGATTCCTAATAAGACGATGCTGATGGACAGCAAGATCTACAACGTGGTAGAGAAATGGTCGAAACGATTGTATTTCTCACCGAACGGGGACTCCCCGGAGGACGACCAAGGAAAATCAAAATTAGGGCTCGAGGAATTGCAGATCGGTTACGAGGCGAATGAAAAAAAAAGTTCCTATCAGTTGACCGACATAGAGAAGAACGATAGTAATATGGAGAATTGTATAGCGATCAACGACGTGAAGTCGGACGGCGCGGATCAAAATCTTATTCCTGACCTAGCTTTAAACCTTCTGGCCGAGTGGTCGAACCTGAAGGAGGTTTTCCGAATACCTAAGAAAGAGAGAATCGAGCAAATGAAAGAGCACGAAAGAGAGGCCGGTAATGTCATCGAATGATTCGTTAAATCCCCGTACGTGTATATGTATAATTCAAATGACTTTCAACTGAAATTTCACTTGTAGATCGCGGGTACAGAGAAGAGTTAGAGAAGGAGGAGAAAAGGGGGACGTCGTACGACAGGTATGAACGGAGAAGGAAATTGTTGAAAGAAAGTAATTAATCAAATGAAAAAAAAAGTGTATCGATATTTTGTAGACACAGGTCCGACAGATACGGCAGAAACGAATCGGAGAAGCGCAGCGACCGAAGACGAGGACGAGAATCTCCAGAGTCCGAGTACACTCGGACGAAAGACAAAAGAGTGGAAGAAAGAAGCAGCCTAGTTCCTATCCCGCGAATGACAAAGTACGAACGCAGACAATTGTTCGCCATGAAGGTCGCCAAGGAGGAGGAAGAACGGCAACGTCGTCAACAACAAGAATCGTGGCAAGATCACGAGAACAGATGTTTAGCGTTAGGCATAGATCCTCATACAACTGCTATGGTGGATCCTCAAACAGGGTACCCTGTGTTTTACAATCCATCGCTTGGCCAGTGGCAGCATTATCCTACTCAAGGTATATTATTCTTATGTCTTCTGTCGCGCACTGGTCTACAAAATTTAACTTTCTTTCGCTTTGAATGATTCAACTTAAAAAACGAGAGCATAAACGTGATCTCAATGGTGTTTCTTGTGCTTGCTGAATGGAAACCTTTCTTGAGAAAAATCATGTGGACCAGTGTCGTTACTAGCAACGGATCATTATCCGTGATACGTTCACTGAACTAAATGCAACTTGTGATCGCAGAGGGAGAGATAAGTCAGCAATGCACCCCGGTCTACGTAGGCGGTCCTCAGTCGGTGTCCGGGCATTCTCAGTCGACGATACCACCGCAAAATTCGCATGTCCTCCAGCCGTCGATCTCTTCTGAAATATCGCCTGGCATGACGAACAGCATACCTTCCGGTGTGCCGCCAGTGGTGTACACGTTAAGCCAAACTCCTGTGTTCAATCAAACCACAACAGCGTACTCGTTGCTACCTCATTGTCACCAGCAATATCCGGAGAGTCAATTGCCGTTGTCCAATAGCTTAGTCCATAGTGGAACGCCACCGGTAACCATTCAAACTCAGCCCCTTTACGAGCACATCGAGAAGCAATCGGATCAGCAGCAGTTCTCCGCGAAATCGTTCAAGTCACCGCAGCCGGAAATACCTGCCATAGATCTACCGCCTAAATGGAAAAGTGCCACCGACGCTAGAGGCAGGACATACTACTATCACGTGAAGGAACGAGTGTCGCAATGGTTGCCTCCGCCGCCGGATCACATCGGAGTGCAGCCGGACTCCTCCTCGTCTTCGGAGTCCAGCGAGGACTCCAGCTCGTCGAACGAGGACGACGAGGATATCGAGGACGACAACGTCGAGGATCAGAAGCCCGAAGAGCTGGAATTGAATAATACTTTGATGGAGAAATCGTTGAATGGTTCCAAGCATAATACGTCTAAAAAGGTCACCGTTCACAACGTAGCTGGGAACACAGGGGCCTTCCCCGAAGGCAAGAAGAGACGGGAAGGGTTGGTTCAAGAGAGGATCATCAGTGTACGTTTACCGTTCTTCCTTTTTCTTTAGATCTCCTAGCTTTGCGTTCTTTTCTATTCCTTTTTCCATGAGGAATTTTTCTCGTAGTTACTATTACATGTTACATCTTACAGCCGCGTAGAGAAGAGGATCGTATAGATCACAAAACGCACAAAGGGATCAAGGAGAAGTTACGCCGTCAGAAGGAGAGGGCTAAATTCAAGGAGCACGTCGACAAGATACGGAGACATCGGCGTAGCAACAAATCGAAGTCGCATTCGCGTCACGGCTTAAATAAATTGCAGTCACCCTCGACGGATCTGTCGACGATGTCCGAAAGAAAGATCAAAGACACCTTTAGGATAAACATGGCGAACGTGATGGTACATTTTCTGAACCCGTACAGAAAGAACGACTGCAAACAAGGTAGAATAACCAATACCGAGGATTTTAAACATCTCGCGAGAAAGGTACGTTCGAGCGATTCAAATGTTTATTTTTTCACGTGGTATACATATTGGAAGTTTTAGTTTTGATCGTAAACGTTGTTCCGTTGATTTCAGCTTACACATTTTGTACTTGCTAAAGAGTTAAAGCATTGTAAGAGCGTCGACGAGTTACAATGCAACGAGAACGTTAAACATAAAGCTAAAGATTTTGTACGTAAGTATATGAGTAAATTCGGTGCAGTATACCAGAAAAGTACAGACGACGACTAATTATGTAACTTATAATGTGAAATTGTTATTTATTACATGAATCTTTTACCTTGAACATTGTAATATATCTAGTAGAAATATATGGAAACTAATGCCCATATGTAGATATATTTGTAATTATTATTATTGTAATATAGGTAAATTTGTACATGCTTCAGAAACATTCTGATAATTTAGCCATTAAGGGATTAATTAAATTTCGAACTGTACGCATTCAATGTATAAACATGATCATTTTTATTTAATAC